GCTGTTGCACATCGACGCTCGCGTTTACGTGCCTGCTGCGCAGGGCGCATTGATTGAAGTTATGGCGGGGCGGGCCTACGATTGTTTCGCGTCTCGCGGTACTAATCACTACTAACAATGTACGGAGGGTTAGGCATTGCTGCGACTATGTAGATGAGCGACAGCAAAAGCTCTTTCGGCGAATTTGCAAAAAGAGCTACAATTCGGTGATATACACACACGAGCCACAGCGCCGCCAGGGAAAATATACTGTGTGAATTTCATTAGGATTTTCATGTGATTTACCGTTGCTATAATCCTGACGGGTCGTTGTCTCCTACGCGTGTCTACGTAAGGCACGCCCGCAGGTTCAGACGCAACGGCACCGCGCCAACCATGACGCGCGCAGGCACACACGCAAGCACGCCCGCCCGCAAGCACACCGGCACACAGCAGGCACGCACACGAGCCACGCACGCACGCGCGCACGCACACACGCAAGCACCGCGCGCTAGCACCCGGCACGCACGCTCACGCGCCGCAGGCACACGTAAGCACCGCGCACAGGCACACAGCATATATATACTGCGTCGGCGGCGGCAGCGCGCGTACTGATGAATGCAATACAGTACAGTACACACATGCATGCTGTAATGTATAAACACTTGACAGCTCACACCGTTACCAGAAATTCTAGCCGGCACGCGTGGAAACCGGCTGCCCGCTAGCGCAGGAGACCGAGCGAGGATCGGCGGCAAGGCGCGGGACCGACCTGGACAATCGATTTCCAGGGCGACTTTTGCTTTTGGGGTCGCCCCCGATATCGTATTTTCGGGGGCTCTTTTTGGCATTTCGGGGGCGAAATCGCCCGCCGCCCCCGTGTATTTTTTCCCCTGCCCCCTTCCCACTCTCACTTTGAGAATGCCTCCTGATCGGAGGCGAAACGTCAGCAGTGCATTTTGAATCAACACGGTTAAATAAAAATAAACCAAGATAGATCTATTATCTACCAACCGAATGAACTTATTTAATGAGTTAATATCATCATGAATCGACGTAAAGCTTACTTTTGTAAATGCGTGCCGCCGTGTAGCCGGCTGGAGATCCCAGGAACACGTAAACCACCTGCAACATTTGCACAACACGATCGTGTCAGAATTAGACTAAACACGCACGCACACACCTCCTCTTTCAGATGTTGATATGTATCCTCAGCCTCCTACGCTGCATTATGGCTCAAATTGCACGACTACACTGACAGTACATGCCGTGGTTGCCCTCCCTGCCTGCCACGGTGCTTCGAAATAATGGATGACGTCCAGAGAAATCCTGTTGCCTGGCTGCCCTTACCTGGTTTCCTTAAGTGAACTTGCTAAAAATGTCCCGTTTTTATGTTATCTTGTTGTATACCGCGTAAATAATGCAAATAAGTCAGTTTTCTTAGGAACCTTCTTCAAAGGAAACGTTTGGCCTGTTGCCCATCCCAAGCCTACAATTAAACGCAACACAACACTTGGCTCTCTCTATCTCTCTCTCTTTGTCTCTCTCTCTCTATCTCTCTCTCTCTCTCTCTCTCTCTCTTCCTGTCTCTCCCTTTATCTCCCTCCCTCCTGCCCCCCTCTCTCTCTCTTCCTGTCTTTCTGTCTCTCCCTTTATTGGCCTCCCTCCTGCCCCCTCTATCTCTCTTCTTCTCTGTCTCTCTTTCTGTCTGTCTGTCTGTCTCTCCCTAGCTCCCACCCTCCTGCCCTCTCTCTCTCTTCCTCTCCATCTCTCTCCCTCCCTCTCTCTCTCTCTCTTCACCCCTCTCTCTCACTCTCTCATAATACAACAACGAGAAACTCCCCTTCTCTCCCGGCCCCCCCTCGCCCCGCGCCTTCCCCTCCCCCATTGTGAGGTCGCGCACAGGTCTGAGGGCGCCCCCACGGCTTGCCCGGGAAGAGGAAAGCCGAAGCAGGGCGAAGAGGGGTGATTGAGGACCAGGTGAGAGCCGATTTGCTTTGCCGACCTCCGACGAAGTAATGCGACAGCAGCATTCCACCGCTCGCGGGCCGCAGGAGACACGTCGCCGATGCACGAGCTTCCAACCAAACTCTCGTGCGCATCCTCTTCGGACGTGACGATAGTCAGATTAGCAGACGACAGTGAACATTAGCGGACGACAGTGAACATTTAGCAGAATGATAGTCAACATTACGCGGACGGACAGTTGAACATTAGCAGACGACCAGTGAACATTAGCGGAGACAGTGAAAATTAGCAGACGGACACGTGAACATTTAGCGGACGACTATGTGAACATTAGCAGATGATAGTTCAATAGCGGACGACGTGAATTTAGCAGGATGATAGTCAAATTTTAGCGATGACAGTGAACATTAGCAGATTTGATATTAACATTAGCGGACGACAGTGAACATTAGCGGACGACAGTAAACATTTAGCGGGACAAACAGACTATATTATTTATGTCATTACAGTTAAACATAAGACAGATGTATTAGTCAACACAGAGGCGTCACTTACGAACTACATAATTTTACAACTTCTATACTTTACGACTCACATATAGTTAATGGATAATATGACATTAACTATAGTTATGCTGCTACATATGACTACAATAATAGTCTAGGCCTACATTATGAATACAACTACTCACGACTACATCAATATTACGACCTACATATACTCTTACAATAAGCTACACATACTCATTGACTACTATACTTACAACTACACATACTTACGACTACAACATACTTACGCCCCTTACACATACTTACAACATTACACACTTACTCCGACTACACATAACTTACGACCAAACATTACTTACGGCACCTATCATATAACATTACAACTACACATACTCATGACTACATTATTACACAACTACACATACCTCCACGACTACATATACATACAACTACAATATACTTACGACTAATTATACTTACTACAAACCATTAAGACATTACTCACGCTACACATACTTACGACTACAAGTATACATACAACTTACACTATACTCATACAATATTAACTTCGAGTAACACATACTTACGACTACAATACTTTACGACTACATATACATTACGGACTACATTATGACATACAACTAACAATATACTTACAACTACAATACACATTACTTAACGATAACACGATACTCACGCACCACAACCATCCTTACGACTACGTATTACTTACAACATACACATACTTACGACTATACGTTACTTACGACAGAGTCCCATTGGTTGATAGCGATTGATGTCCTTGTGCAGTGTCACGCCACATGAATCATTGCCACCCATGCCGGAGAGCGAACAACACAGATGACGAGCGATGTTCATGATTTCACTGAACCACTGGTCATTGTTCGTATGCGGCATCGAGTGAGGAATATTAGTCCAGCCGAAGACCACTTTGTCGTCTTGTCCTCTGCAGGTGGCACAGCACGCGCACAACGTTTACCTCGCATAAACGATCACCGCGGCAAGAGCAGTGGATTAACCTCATGCGCTGCGGAAACCTTGTTATGGTTTTCTCGCCGGGGATTAGAGATTGTTTTATTGCCACCGTATAATTTTTTTCATTTCCAAAACTGGTTCACAATGAGATGGTTCGTGAACTCGTTTTTCCTGCACAGTGTGTTTCTGGATTCGAACGCCGCTCTCGCCTACGACATGATTCGTCTAGGCTTCGTTAGTAGGAACAACATTTGTGTTAGTGAGGTTGACTGCGTTCATCAGTGACAGTTACTACAGTAACAGCACACCAAAGTGGCCCTCAGGACAGCCAACACACACACTTGCTTGATTGTGTTGATCAAACGTGAAAGCCAATAGTTGAACCGTAACATTTGCCGAACCAAACGATTCAAACATTTGTGACACAACACTTATCAGAAAATGAATAAAAACAAACTATACCTATTCTAACAACACAAAAAACTAACACCGCACACATGTATTCTACCTCATAAACACTAAAATAACTCTTCTTGACAATGACAGGATAGTAAAACAGCACGCTTAAATCAGTAATTAACAGCAGATGCACACATATTGAAGAGAATCTGTAGTTTCTGCGCATCCAAATTAGGTAGTTCGAAGAGTTCACGTAGTGACCCTGTAGTTTGCCTAGGAAGGGTCAAGCATGCCCCCGGAAAAAAGTTTTGATTTCTGAGATGCGACATTTCCTGTCATTTCTGTGCGCGGTGGTCAAAAATGACAATAAATGACAAACAAATGAACAATAATTGACTTCTTTTTTTTCTCTCGATCACAGTGAAATTTCGTAGTTTTTTTGATACAAATGGTCGCTAGTGGTGCAAAAAAATGGAATAGACAAATTCGCTGATAAAATACGAGATAAATCGTAGTGGTTAGGACCTCTGAATTTAACTGTGAACCCCAATAGCTAATGATCTACACTCCACAACAAAACAATGACTGTGTATGGTAGGTGATGTGCTAAGCTAGTGGGCCGGCATGTAGCTAGCGGTGGATAGCCATTGGACTGTTGGCCGCATGCCCGGACTGCAGCTTTGCCGCAGTCAGTGTGCTTCACACTGGAAAACACAAACAGACAAAGACTCCACCTGACGCAGCTGTTAAGACACAGTGTGTTCGCAGAGACGCCGTCTACCTGCCGTCTTCTTGGACGGCCTATCTTAGATGATGAGACAAATGAAATTTGATAGAGACGGCATGAGGGCGGCCCGATTTTATATGTTATACACCTTGTATAACTGACAACAGTGCTTATAAGAAAATACATATCATAAATTATATAATATCATATCAGATTCCTGTCTTTTTGGCATTTCAGACTAAATTTCCTCCATTTTAAGGTAAGGCCCTCCCCCCCTAGGGTGCTTTGCTCAGGTGGTGAGACTCCCTGATTTTTTTCCACCTGGCTAACACAGTAACACCATGGATGCAAATAAAAGTGTTGTTCAAGGATGCACTTACATCTGAACCTCATTTTCTACTTTTTTCGAATTTCTACAGCCGTGATAGAAAGCGAGCATGTTAACGTGAATGTCGAATCGCTAACAAAACCATAGCAGCTTCTATTACACACATTTACTACAACTTCACGTATTTTTCACAACCCGCTCACGCATTACATATTCGACGCCCCGTTCGGCTAACGCTCCATTAGGAGTGTTCCCAACTTTGATATCATTAATGAGTAATGATTAATGATTGATAATCCTAAACCTAACCCTAACCTAAATGACATTAAACCACAAACTAATATATGACCAATATATATATGTATATATATGTTATTATGACCATTAATGACATTGAAGTCAGGAACACTCCTAATGGAGTATCACCCCCTCACGTTCCCTCCCACCTCAACACACTTACACATTTTCCCCAACGCCTTCCACCCTTTCGTAGGCCATAATAAAAATATTGTTTGTTTGCCCTCACCCGACCGACCCGCCAAAAAGGGGCCGACTCAAACATTTTTATTGATCTTTCCCATTATATTTTTTACAAATTGTATCACTGTACATTAAATAAATCTGTAGGCAATAGATTATATGTACCAAGCAAAACAAACATTCAACATAAAAGGTATCTCCACACAAGCACACCCAAGCATGTAGACACCATGCTGCATTTGTAAAAAGACCCCCCTCAAAATTTTTTTTAAGCCTACCTACCTACCCAAATTTTTCAGCCTGGATCGGGTGAGGGCAAACAAAGATTTTTTTAATTGTGGCCCCATCGCCTTCACCCTTTCCTGCAGCTTCCGTTACGCCCCCCAAACCCATCTTGACGGCTCACCTCTTCGGAATAATATTAATAACTAGAGCACTCAGAGAGCACAGACCTCCGCCAAGGCAGCTGAATTCTCTCAATGTGAAATTTTTTATTGATTAATTAATTAATTAAGTGGGTACGAGCGTGCAGGTAGGGGAGGACTGTGGTTGCCCCTTAGCCTGTGGTTGCGTGTTTGTAAGTCTACAGCCAGCGCACCTAGCGGAAGTGAACTGAAACGTGCATGTTAACAAACCCACAAACCAACACTGAAACACACGCCGGTGAAAACATAACCTCCGCCAAGCCCCTGGCGGCGGTAATAATAGTAATAA